TATAGATATAGATATAGATATAGATATAGATATAGATATAGATATAGCTATAGATATAGATATAGTTAAAAAATAGTTGGTGGTAATTTCAAGTCCTCTAAACATTTATTTAGCCGTTAAAAACTTTACAACATACGACAATACGACACATACGACACCTTGTGAACCACCCAATAGATTTGCTTGAAAAATTGACTGTCGCACGGTGGTATTACGTGGTATGTAATCGAATCGCTGATTTAATCTTTAATAATTATTATTTATAATCAACTGCCTTATATATATATTGTAATATATTCACTGGTTCGTCGAAATGGAAAGGTAATACCATGATAAAAATATAGTAAGGTAGAACCGCTGAGAGTCACTTTTAAAATTCTTGGCGTTTCCAAACAATTTAATTTTTAAATTTACTCACAAACTCACACACACATTTTCATTTTCAATCTCAAGCAACAACAATTTCGAACAATTTCAATTTTTTATTTTCACTTTTATATGATTTTAAAATGTTGGCAAACTTCAATAAAAAATCATGGGCGACAAATTGAGAGAACGGTTCTACCTTGCTATGTTTTTATCATGGGTAATACAACTGTGAAACTAAACCAAGCATATTTTTTTTTTGTATTTAGGAATAGATTTGCAGATTTGAGCTAAAATTTTAATAATATTTACTAGTCACAATTATAAGGTATTTTTACCACTCCAATTCAATGTATGTAAATATTTAAGTTCATATTTGTTTGCGTTATTATAACCAAATTATTTAATTTATTTAGCTATTTGTGAAGAAACATTTTTTTAGCTATTTTGTTCGGCTATAAAAAATTTGTTAGCTATTTCTATCTATTTTTTTCGAAGAATTTAGCTATAAGCCTCAAAATTTTCTGGCAACACTGATGGCGACATTTTCCACTTTTTTCGCGTTTTTGTTGTTATTACAATTAATGATATTTGTTGTTTCTTTTAATAAAAAAATAGCATAAGTGCTTTAAATATGTAGCAAAATTCATTTTGGGGAAAGCGAAACCACAAATTCAGCTTACACATCGTTAGCGTTGGTGTGAAAACACGAAGGAAAAACTGCACAATGTGCACGTTTTGGCCGGCATTGCATTATGGTCTGATTATGGCAATTTAAAGTAATTTACAAGGCTCTCACACAAAAATTCAAATGGATGTTGCCTATAATTGAACTGCCGAAACTTAACGTAACTTAATGCCACGCCGAAATCTGTTTCATTTAGATTTTCTAAGTTCTAAGTTCCGTTAAGTTGCCTTAATCAGACTTTTAGGCTGCGTTTCACCAGATTAATTTAAGAAAAAATTTTTTTTTATTTAAAAATTTTTGGTTTCATCGATGAAACTTAATTTGTTTTTAATTTAATTAATGACCTATGCTCTTCACGTAAATAAAATGAATAACCACACTCAGAGATGTTACACAGTTAATCAATATACGCCCACCGCAATATTGTGTATCAGCTGTTTACTTGTAAAATAGCCCTGATTTTACTACCATATTTATATTCACTTAAATAAAGGGCTTATTGAAACTGAAAAAATTTAATTTAGAATCAAATAAAAATTTAAATTTAAATTAATTTCCAATTAAAGGAGTTTGTTCAAACGCAGCCTTAGAGTAAATTTTTCGAAAGTGTACAGTGCTTGTAAATGTATTTATGTATGCATAGATATACCTATATGTAAACAGGTTGGTATATATGTATGTACATATATGTTTATGAATATATGATGTATGTTCGTGTATAAATAATGTTATATTAGATACTACTTATAGAACTCTTCCCGCTATCACACATTGGTAGTCCTACCGATATTTTACCAATTATTGCATCCATGTAGCACTTACGAGCATGCGCACTCGACAACTCGCATATCAGTCCACGTTGAGATCTTTAGTTTTTCGCTGTTTTTTTCATCTAGGTGCAAAACTTCGAGTTCGACCAGCTTCGAGGGTGCACAACATGGACGCGGTGCACGCTCACGGTTTTGCTTCCAAATCAGGCTCTGCAACATGGCGTGATGGTGGGCGGGGTTGTAGCGCGGAGGACAGCGGCCGTGGCAGTAGCCAGCATCGAATACTTTCGGCTGTATTATGAATTCAAAGCCTTTGATTTCCTTGAACACCACTTCCATTGTGTGTCGACAGCAGCGTTTATTGCCCTTATGGCAGGTATGTTTATCTAGTGCAGCATTGGAGAGGTGTCGGCCATTTGACAGCGTTGCAACTTTATGATGATGGTAGAGTGTTGCCTCAGCGGAATTGGAATGTTTATTCGACCTCATCTCCTTGTACGTCACGCCCATACGACCGATGATGTTTAAAACCGGCATCAATTTCGCATCATCAGCATTGGCATCGTCAACGTTGGTAGACGACGTCATGTCGTTTAGTATGCGCGCACCAACTCGTTGACAAATGTCACATTGCACCTCGAGCCCAAGATTGGACTTTGGCTCGCGTAGCCATGCCTCCACAGCTTTGGTGACATCGAATTGCATCCACTGGCTATGTGTATCATCCGCACGACGGGAATCCACCTCGATATCCATTTTATGACCATCGAGCCAAAGGCGTTTGCCCTTCCCCAAACGCTGATACACCCTCAAATTTAGAATATGCTTCTGCTTTGTAGGCGTATCTGTGCTTGCTTGCGGCTTACCGCTTTTGGTGATATTTGTGCGGCAGGCGCGATACCTTGACTGTTTACTCGGCTTGGTAGACTTGACAGCTAATTCCGAGCTGTGGATTAGCATAAGTCGAATATTAGCCTCCTCCACGTCGCCGGGCTCCAATTGAGCAGCATTCTTTTCCAAGGCAAAACGCAGAACCATCGTAGTCTTGCCTTTTAGTCGTCGACGCCACTTTCCGTCTTTATTGCGTTGCATACGTGGTAATACAAAGTTATCGGTGAATGTTTCCTGATCGGTAGCGGCATCAGCGTCATATTCGTCCTCATCTGAGTCGTTCAGAATGTTGCGTTTTCTTCGCCAATACTGTTCGAATTCGGTGGCGTTCGGGGCGATGCTAACAATATGCAATGGAGCATTTTCCATTTGCCACTCGACAGGGTCCTCAATCGTATATGCCAATTCAGCTAGTTCACGTCGTTTTCGTTCGTGTACGCGCAACAAATACTCACGATACTTGGTCACATATTCTCGTTGGCTAACATTAACCTAAAACGACAAAAAAAACATTGCCATCAAAAGAGGCTACAAACCAAATAAATAACAACTTTATACTAACTAGCGATAGGTAAATTGATATTCGAATCTTCGAGATTCGGGTTATAATCGAATTTTAGCTTCAAATGGCGAATTTTTTAATCAAACTTTGTGGTGCTAAAGTTCGTATAAAATCGAAATTTTCTAGAGTGAATTAAAAATTTACAAGAATGTACTAATTTATTTTGTTATTATAAAGAAAGGAAAATAAATATAAGCACATTATACGTTCAAAAAAATTAGTTTAAATATGTGTACATTTTCTTAATTTTTTTAAATGATACTACTTCTGGTACTTACAAACATTAGACAGAATTTATAATACCATTTCAGGTTCATGAAAGGTATAAAAAATGATGGAAAAATCGTACGTTCGCAACCGGTACTTAAGCTTATAAATAAAAAACTAATAGAGATATTTCGACGCGCAATTAGTTAGGAGGAAGTACCTTTATTCCGCTTTAATATAAAACTAATCGCTTTATTTTCTTTACTTTCATTTTTCAATTTGCAGCCAAAAGCGACTTCCATTATTATTCGTACGTTCGCGAAGACATGTTTGTTGCTAACATTTTGAAAAATAAAAGTTTCTTGTATAGTTTCAGACGCGGGTTCGATCCCTGCTAAGTCTAGAAAAAAGAAGTCTGATGAGGAGATATGGTGATCTCCGAAATAGCTGCTATAACTTCTACCGCTTCAACTTTGTTGCTTTTTCCATTTTTTCTAATAAAAAACTCGTGGCACAAAGCTCAACAAAAATATTAAAATTAAATGTTAATAAGCCACAATAACATTGACAAATATATAGTTTAGGAAGAGTAGTGTTGTTCCGATACTGTCATGTACTCGATACCTTTACTCTTTAAAAATATCGAAGAAAAGTATCGATGCTACAAATGTATCGGAGAGAAGTACTCGATACTTACTCGTATCGAACTCATTACAGCATTCCGTAGAACTAATATAATAATTTCAGAAAATATTATAAATGCAAATTCAAAGGGCATGTGCATGTTTATACGCATTTGAATATATTTATTAAAAAAGTTTGATAAGTTTAATAAGAAAGTTGCGTTATCTGCCGCCGCGGCAATGCTACATCACGGGAAGAAAAAAATAAACACTTCGAGTACTTTCCGATCGAAACTTACCAAAAGAGCAGCCATAAGTATGATCGAGTACTTTCGGCCAAAACCTACCGAAAGAGTGGCCGTAAATCTTGTGAAAATTTCACTAGTACGAGAACGCAGTCTTGACAGTTTCTTCATTTCTGTATGCAATTTCAATTATTAAGGCGTTTTCAGTCCGATTCTCCAACTTATTTTATTTGCTTCATACACCTTAAGGTTGGGTACAACTTAAGGTCTGAACTTGTTGCCAAAAATACTATGCACACTATGTCACAATCAAAGTTCTGAATAGGTGGAAAAGCAAGTAAATACTCTAACCGCGTACTCGATACCCATCTAAGTACTTGTGGGAAAGATTGGAGTACAAAAAGTACTCAGTACTTGAAGAAAGTATCGAGTATTTACTCGTAGATACTTGTATCGGAACAACACTAAGGAAGAGCCTTCCTGAAACTATACAAGAAAGCAAATGCATGTATAGAATTGACAACAACAACGACGCTGTCAAGTTTAAATAGCGGCAATTGAGCTGCACTGATAGCAGTAGGTTGAATAAGGGAAATGAATTAGCAACACGAGTTTACGGAGTGTGGATAGCTCAATAGTTAACGCTTCTGACTTTGCACATCGATGACGCGGGTTCGATCCCTGCTAAGTCTGATGAGGAGATGTGGTGATCTCCGAAATAGCTGCTATAACTTCTACCGCTTCGACTTTGTTACTTTTTCCATTTTTTTCTTATAAAATAATCGTGGTACAAAGCTCAATAAACATATTAAAATTAAATGTTAATAAGCCACAATAACATTGACAAATATTCTTTTTTGTTCGTTTATATAAAGCAGTGGATAAAAATATACGTATATGCGAAAGGCAAATTTATCTGTTTAAATGAACACCACTAATATTTCCTGCTAACACACATCGATTAACATCATTTATCTACCCTCCGACACAGAATTGTTTTCGTACAAAATTACGCAAAAAAGCTGTAAATTTCTTACTCGTTCATTTTAGGCATGTCATTGTTACGAATTTCGAAGTTTCGAAAATACGATTCGGATTGCAGCGTACTATATCTACGATTCGTAGCAAAATCCGGTTCGCGACCGTTGGAAATGCCCATATATATATACATACTTTATTTTAAGTCGTCCTGCTTTCCTGAAGTATGTACTGCATTAATATTAGCTGTGTTTTTTTACAAATTATCCAGTAACTTGCCAGCAACTCTCCAGTAACTTTATTTCTAAGAATTCGCTCTCATAGAAAAAATTTGCAATAAAGTACGCGAACGCTTTTCCAGTAATAATTTGCAACTTTTATGAACAGCTGATAAATTGGTTGTTTATTCGCAGCAAATTCCTAATAAAACAATATATTTTGTATTTAAATAGGTTTATTTTGTGAAATTCAACAATAAAAACCCATAAACAGTTTCCTTATTAGTTTAAATTTCATCCAGCAACATGCGATCAGCTGTTTTTCGTACTGGCAAATTCTTACAAGTCAAAATTTATCCAGTAAAATCCAGTAAAAACTTGCAACTTCAACTGTAATTTTTCGCTCTCTCAATTTCTCCTACTTTGCAAGTTTTTGCGTACGAAAACGCCAAAACATGAAAATTCGTAAAAACTTTTACTGGATTTTACTGGAAATGAGTAAAAAAACGCAACTATTATTTGTTCCAATTATTGTGCCTACAGCTGAACGATCATTTTCGAATTTAAAATTGACTCGTCAATTCCCAGTGTCACCTGTAGGGGACACCTCTAAAAACTTTTTTTCAGCTTAAGGAAAACGCTTTTTTTCCATTTTACCTCTGTTAACAATTAGTTAACAAATCAATGGAGTGTACATAATTTTCTTGCAATTGTAGTTGCAAGTCAGCTGTGAAATTTTTTACTTTTATCGCAAGCTGGAACTCGTCGTCTTTGAGTGCTTTTTATATCAGAAATTCAGCTTATGATGCCAAATTCGTAAATGATATGTCTAAATGGTAAATAATGTTGGCAAAACAAGATATGGAATATATTATAGATGTCATTTACATAATGAAAAGTTACCATGAAATTAAAAAAAAACAATGTTTTTCACTTATTTGTACAATTATGTAATGAATAAGTGAAAGGAATATCAGAATATTGCAGAATCCTTCAAATGGGAATTGACGGGTTAATAAAAACCTATTTGAGAAACTCTATGGGACAAGACAGGCTAAGTAACTTGGCTATTCTGTCTATTGAAAATTCTATGGCTCTATCTTTAAAAGTTGATGATGTATTAGATTCTTTATCAAAATTCAATTGTTGTTTTTTTTCTTAAAAAAATCATAGCTCGAAAATAACGAATTTTAGTTACTAGGCATTCAGTCGAAATGAAGTTTAAAATGTCTATTAAATAATAAAAAAGTTTTAAAAAATAAAAATACCCTTTTCGAGATATTGTATTTTAAAAATCTTTTTCCCTTTTTGTTTAATGTTGAATAATAAAAAAACAACAACTTATTTAGAACAGTTATAAACTTTTGTAGTCCAAACTGTTAAAAACATTTTAAAGTAAAAATTGTCCAAATCGGTCAATTTTTGGGCAAGTTATAGAGAATTGGAAAAAAAGTTTTCTCAAAAAACCGAAAAAATCGTTTTCACCCAAAAAACGAAATTGCCGATAAATCTCCATTTTTTCCCGCCAGAAGAAGAAATACGTGTCTCATTATTTTGACCAAGAATCAACATATTGAAGTTTTGTTGAATAATAAAATCATGTCCCGAGTGGACCGTTTGAATTGAAATGGAAAGCATCGTATGTATAAACCTATGTTATTGAAAGTAAAAATCTAATATTTAACAAAAATGCATACATTATGGTTAATAATGCTGGGTAACTACTTAAGTGGTTTATTAAAATTAAATTACAACGTGACGATTTTTACTGGGAGGGCCCCATCGAATGGATTTGCAACGGGTCTCAGATGGTACATACAGTTACTTAACCAATCGTTCGCATGTAGATTTTGTTTTAATATTCACAATGTTTTTCAAGTATAATTTTTTCTTTTTTTGTAACAATACATTTCATGCAATGATCATATATATAAAACTTTCAAAATTTAACCACCATTTAGAAAAATTAAACAAATTTCGATCAAAATTTTAAACCTTTTAATCTGAATTTTTGAAAAAATTGTGGTTATTCAGTTTCATAAAATTTTACTACAATAAAGTGGAAGTTTCAAGCGGCTAAAAATTCGCGTTGAACTTTAATTTTGCTTATGGAGAAAATGCTCAACTAGCACTGGTGTATAACTTGGTGTAAAATTGTGAATTTTGGTGCAATTAACCAAATTTATACCCAAAATTCGTAAATTTACACCGAGTTATATGCCCGTGTGCTACTTGAGCTTGCTTGAAAAAAAAATTAAAAATCAACGCCCGTTCTTATATATTGCATTTCGAGGGCTTATATTCAATACCCTCTATCTACAATTTTGATGAAAAAGAGTTTTTGATGGTAACGTGAGCTCTTATTTATCCTTCAGCCATGACAATAATGCCAAACTTAAAATTTTGCTTTTATGGTATTATATTCTCATTTTGAAAAATCCACTATCTGCAATAACATTTTGTTACAAAAGCAAAATCCTCTATCTACACAATTTTGCTGGAAAATCGTTTTCATTACCATTTTTTGTGGCAGACTGGGTAAGTTACATGTGCCGATGCATGTATGTATATGTTCCGGTAAAATCCGATCTTTGGTCAAACTAGTTTTGCCCAGGCTAAACTTGTTCTACCTAATGCGATGTCCAACCGAAACCAAATC